ACCTTCGGGGACAGGGTATCCAACTGATGGATCCAGAAGGTCTCCCTAGTGCTGAGTTTCCGATACCTCCTGCCCGCATAGCTATCCCGCATGACTTCCACCCCGAACATTCTCAATCCCTTGGGGTTCTTGCAATGCTCATCTCTAAAATGACACGGAACAGAATGCTTTTCAAAACCATGGATTATGTTTCTCTTATGTTCCTTGAAGCGTATTCTAAGGATTTGTGAAGTATGATCCACATAGGGTAGGACACAGGGGCAGAGAGGACAATAGACAGTAAACTGGGTCCAACAATTAATAAACTGTTTGATGGAATATGTTCTACCCCTGTGATTTCTTTGTTTCTATGTGTTTCTATGTGTTCATATGCCCCACAGTTTGGAACCCCACACCTGGAACTCCCCTTCTGGTCAAAAATAATGTTCCAGCCCAAACTAGATGATTTGTCTGGTGGTTTGACCCTGCAGGGAGCAATAATGCTCCCCAGATCTTTCGGTCTATGGAAAATGGCCTCTGGCTGCTGAGAAATGGTATTCGCCAAAAACGCATCCTGTACTAGAATCCCCCAGTACATATGGAAGACTCTTTTTATATCGAAAGCTCTCCGATTGTACCTGGTACAAAAAGGCCAACTTATGACAGCTGTTCTTCCTCTTGTACATCTTGGGCTCTTCCTTATCACCTATACATGTTGCAACTTCTGTTTCACTGTTATATTTTTCCATGTATTTTTCATAGGCCTTATCAATGTGGGAAATGGCATATCTCTTTTCAAGAAACCTTTTTATGAGAACCATGCTCTATGCGTCATAGTCCCCGACTTTAGTACAAGTCCTCCTCAGCCTGCAGTATTGACCCAGAGGGACATTGTTAATCCATCTGGGATGATGGTTACTATACGAGGATCGCAGTCATCTACTGGCCCCCAGGCCCAGTTTCACGCTTTCTTGATGACTTTTCAGCATGGCTACCATACTTTCTCTCCTCTGAGGTGCCTGCCATCATCCTCGGTGACTTTAACATCCCAGTCAATGTTCACACCTCTGCCACCTCTCAACTACTCAATCTAACTTCCTCTTTTAACCTAACACAATGGTCACAATCCACCACCCACTCCAATGGCAACACCCTTGGCCTTGTATTCACCCAGCTATGCACTCCCTGTAACCTCTCTAACACCCCTTTTCCTCTCTCTGATCACAACTTTATCAGCTTCACACTCTCCCTGCCTCCTACCTCCCATACCTCCAACCAGCAAACCGTTAGCTGTAGAAACCTCCACCACCTCAGCCCTGACCTTTTTCACTCTGCTACTGAGTGCCTCTATGATGAAATTGCACCCCTGTCCTGCCCAGAGCTGGCCACATCTGCCTACAACAACTATCTTATCATCTTCCATGGACGCTCTTGCTCCTCTTTCTACATGCAGAACCAGGTCTTGCCTGTCACAACCCTGGAAAACAGATGACACCAGAAGTCTCAAGAAACGCAGCCGCACTCTTCAGCGAGCATGGCGTAAAACGAAATCCATAAAAGACTTTACCTTCTACAAATCCACTCTTCTCAAATACAACTCCAGCCTCCACGATGCTAAGCAAACCTACTACAACACTCTCATCAAGACCCTCTCATCCAATCCTCGTCAACTCTTCTCTACCCTTTGTTCCTTACTCCACCCCCCACTGCCCCCACCCACCAACTTACTGCACAGGAGATTGCCAGTCATTTCAAGAAGAAGATCAACACAAATCGTGATGAGATCTCCAGTGTCAAGCTTCCTCCTCTAACCAACATACCAGGCCCAACACCAAACTCAACACTCTCCTCCTTCAACTCTGTTACAACCTTTCCAAGGCCCACTTCACCACCTGTCCCCTGGATCCTGTCCCCTCATGACTGTTGCAGCCTCCTTCCTGCTCTGTCCTAAACTCTCTAACCCACATCTTCAGCCTCTCGCTCTCCATGGGCACCTTTCCCTCCCCACTCAAACATGCACTGGTTACCCCCTTTCTCAAAAAACCCTCGCTGGACCCCACCTGTTTGAATAACCCATCTCCCTGCACCCGTTTGCCTCCAAGCTTCTCGAGTGCCTTGTTCACAACAGTATGAACTGCTACCTCACCGACAACAACCTTCTTGATCCCCGACAGTCTGGCTTCCGTGCACAACATTCCACAGAAACTGCCCTACTAAAATTCACTAATGACCTACTAACTGCTAAAACCAACGGCCATTACTCCATACTCATACTCCTTGACCTTTCCGCTGCCTTTGGCACAGTCGACCACCCGCTCCTCCTCAGTAAACTCCACTCCATCGGCCTTCATGACTCTGCTCTCTCCTGGTTCTCCTCTTACCTCTCTCAGCGCACTTTCAGTGTCACATCCAATTTTTCCTCCTCCGCTCCTCTTGCTCTTTCTATTGGGGTACCCCAAGGTTCTGTTCTTGGGCCCCTCCTTTTCTCTCTTTATACCTCCTCCCTGGGCCAACTGATAACCTCATATGGCTTCCAATGCCACCTCTATGCTGATGACACCCAGATTTATCTCTCCGCTCCCCAGCTCACCCCCTCAATCTCCTCACGTATCGCAAATCTACTAAGCGACATATCAGCATGGATGTCACATCACTACCTTAAACTCAATCTTTCCAAAACCGAGTAATATTTCCTCCTCCCTGATCCCCCACTCACGACTTTGCCATTAAGATCAACAGCACAACCATTGGTCCTTCCCCTCATGCCAGGGTGCTAGGCGTAATTCTAGACTCTGACCTCTCCTTTGGGCCCCACATCCAATCACTGGCTCAATCCTGTCACCTCAACCTCCGGAACATTTCCAAAGTCTGCCCCTTTCTGACCAATGACACCACAAAACAACTTATCCACGCCTTGGTTATATCCCACCTTGATTTCTGCAACTCCCTCCTCACTGGTCTACCGTTACACAGGCTATCCCCCCTTCAGTCTATTATGAATGCTGTTGCTAGACTCATACACCTTACCAACTGATCAGCAACTGCTGCCCCTCTCTGCCAATCCCTTCACTGGCTTCCACTAACCCAAAGTAAAAATTCTAAATACTAACCACAGCTTACAAAGCGATCCACAACCATCCATAAATAAGCTTGGGGCAAACCATGGCTGTGTCCCTCACCTGTCAAATAAAACTGTCCCACAAAAGCAAAGTAATTGTGGGTTAGTGTATATACAATACATTGAAAAATGACAGATATTTGTGCAGGATGTATTGAATTATCTCGACAGAAAATATTGGGCTGCTTGCAGGCCATACTGGTGCTGTTTGGAAGTGTACAGGGATGATACATCTAGGGAAACCCACCTATAGCCGTTATGCCAGTGATAACTGCACAAGATGTCAAAATGTGTCCAGAATCTCTAACATAAGATGGTAACTGGACAGCCAAACCTTGTAAGAAATGGTCAATGTAGTTCTCCAAATAGCTGGTTAAGCTGTCAATCTCAGCAATAATAGGTCTGCCTGGGGGATTTATCTCACTCTTTTGTATTTTAGGAATGTGATAGAAGTATGGCGTCAGGGGGTGAGGGCTGAATAGAAACACCCACTCTTGTTTAGTGAAGACTTTACTTCTCAGGGCGTGATCCAACAAATCCTTAAGAGCTAGCTTATAGGACTCTATAGGGTACCCTGGGACATTTGGAATTGCTGGCCACTCTTATTCTTACTCTTATTTTTAGTACTATATGTATCTAGTACAGATTTGTAGGTGGTGGTCAGTTTGTAATGTAGTCAGTTGTTCAGTTTGCTCGTTTTCCTCCATGTGATAGGGCATATTGTTTTCTGTTCTATTTCTGTGATCAGGCTGATCAGGATTATTCTCAGATTTTTGAGCCTCAGAAATGAGGGGCATACATGTCCTGGCCGCTTTCTGGCCTAAAGCGAGGGGGGGGGGGTTGCTGGAGGCTCTTGGTCATTTAAGGGCAGGCAGGACACTCCATTGGTACAACTCTGAGGAAGGGGGCGTGACTCCTAAAATGTGTTAGTTTTCTGACCAATTGATTTCCACATGGAACGTATCGTCCAAAGTTGAAACATTCATGTTATATGCCTTCTGTTTTTAATCCCTCCACATACCCGTATTCTCTAAGATACACAGAATTTAGCTACCTACAAGACAGTATGGTCAAAGAGGACATTTTAAAAGAATTTGTAGGTCATACATTTAGAGTTAACAGTGAATTATGGCCTTTGAAATGATGCTCTCACTCTGACATTTGCAACGATACCTCGTGTGGTGAAACGTATGTTCACATACATGTGTTTGCCTATCCTAGCTGAAGAATGAGAGCTGTGACCCCGGAAATGATGTGATACACATCACTTCCAGGGTCATTAGTCGCAGGAGGGATCAGGAAATGGATGTTCTCTGAGTTCCCCCTGCTTTCACAGTGAAAGCTGTATTCCACAGTCCTGTGATCCCTGGTGGAATCACCACCGTTGTTACTGGCATAGGAGAAGCACTCCTTGTGGAGCCCCAAAAAAGTGATTGGGCAGCTATTGAGCTGTGTGCTTGATTTAAACCACTTGTCTATTGTGATGTTTATAAATTTTCATTGGTAGACAAGTGGTTAATTATCCAACCACAAGCAAACAAAAATCTCTGTTTTAGTCTTCCTTGCATATATTGTGTGCTCGGACTTCACTTTATTTTAGTAACTATGTGAACAATCCATATTCCTTTAAGGATTACTTCACCATTTAAAAAAACTGCTTATGAAGGTAAGTGGCAATATATATATATATAAACAAACTGTTCAGCTCTGACTAAAGTTAAATAATGCCCTTGATATAGGTGTAGTCCATTTACATACCTCCTGAAGCCTGACCTGCCTTACTGACCTGTGGTTTTCAGCACACAAGCCTGAATAATCCATAATACCATCTAAATAGTAAATACCCTTAGGCACCAACAGCAATAACACTGTCTACAAAGAGCTCAACTGTATCAGAACTTACTGTGAACTTTTAAAGCAAATTCTTTCTTAGTGTTTCCAGCATTGTTTGAAACTAGGCAGGTATATAGCCCTATATTTTCTTCCTAGTAAGATTGAGAAAAGAACATATGTGAATACATTACATGCAAACATAAAAATGTAAACAGTATAAAATACAATATTAGAACCAAAAGCAACACGCTAGCCACGCACAATTTAGAAATTTAAACTGCTTTCAACAAGCTTTCAATTTCAAAAACAATTAAGTGAATCAACCAAATTTAGCACCATTTCTGTCAACTTATAAATGTATAAATTGTTGGTTGCCTTAAAGTGAATCTTTATTCAGGAAATTAAGCCCTAATAGATCACTTCATGCTGGCCCCTTTTTGCAGGTATACCTATCTCACTAGAGGATGATCAGCTGACAACCTAAAGATTTAATATTGCTGAGGGGAGAGGTGACAGGAATGACACAGACTGTGCTAAGAGAACTCAGGTTAGGGAAGGAGAAAAGAAAATCAAGATTGGTGTTGGGACAAGCTCTGCTGTCAGGGAGACACAAGACGCGTAAACTTATAAGGATAGTGTTTTCTCCTATTTCCCTAGTATTCTCTCCTTTCTCCCTGGGCAGTGGCAGCCTGTGAACTTCAGCACTGTAAACCTTCTGCAGTCTTCCTCTATAGCTGAGATATACAATCAAGGCTGGAAATGTACACATTTTAATTTCAGAAAGTGACATTGTTTTTGAGACCAAGGAGAGTTTCTAATAAGGAAGTGACTGCTCTGGGCTTCAACAAAATGGTGGCTTCCAGCAAGAAAAAAACAGAAACAGTGCTGGAGGAAATTTACAGCACACACTAATTTTGGTAGCGTATTTATTAATGAGGAATGTTTGTTCTTTTACTAAAGAACATTAATTGTTATCAAACTGTTATGAGTAAAGTTCCACTTTATTATATTTGATATTATTTCTGATCAAAAGGTGGTGAGAAATTGCCAGAAAGCATATTTATAACAGCTTTATTGAAAAGAAAAGAAGTACCCACACTGCAAATAGGGAGATGTAATATTGTCAATATTGTAAGTAATTTGATTCCATTGTTCTCCCTGCAATTGCCACTTTAATATCATTTTTTTTAAATACACAAACATATATCTATAATGTAACATAAAAAAAATTATAAATAAAAAGAAAACCCCATGGATACCATGCCCACTTCTTTATAGCCAAGGTATTATTTTTGGTATACAATAATGCTTCACAACACCAAGTAGGGGTACAGGAAAAATTAGTGAGGTCACGTGTCTTTGCCCCTTTTTATAGTACAGTCTTGGCAACATTAAACAGTGGAAAGCTGGCTTTAGAAAAGTGTATGCTGTTGTGGTGCTGTGTAAAATGTTAAAGCACAGTTTGAGGCATCCAAAAGGAAATAAAGTTGGGCATTTGGAAAGTGGGGAATCTAAGGTACAACATTATTGTATTATTATTTTTTTTGTAGTTCTGAACACTGTATATAAAATATAGGGAACATACACTATATTGGAAAAAGTATTGGGCCAGCCCTCCAAACCATTGGATTCAAGTGTTCCAATCACCTCCATGGCCACAGGTGTATAAAATCAAGCACCTAGGCATGCAGACTGCTTCTACAAACATTTGTGAAAGAATGGGTCACTCTCAGGAGCTCAGTGGATTCAAGCATGGCACCGTGATAGGTTGCCACCTGTGCAATAAGTCCATCCGTGAAATGTCTTTGCTACTAAATATTCCACAGTCAACTGTTAGTGGTATTATAAGAAAGTGGAAGCAATTTTGAATAAGAGCAACTCAGCCACAAAGCTAAAGCGGACAGTGCACAGAAGTCATCAACTGTCTACAGTGTCAGTAGCTAAAGACCTCCAAACTTCATCTGGTCTTCAGATTAGCACAACAACAGCGTAGAGAGCTTCAGGGAATGGGTTTCCCAGGCCGAGCAGCTGCATCCAAGTCTTACATCACCAAGTGCAATGCAAAGCATCGGATGCAGTGGTGTAAAGCACGCCACCACTGGACTCTAGAGCAGTGGAAATGTGTTCTCTGGAGTAACAAATCACGCTTCTCTGGGTTTGGCAGTTGCCAGGAGAACAGTACTTGCCTGACTGCATTGTGTCAAGTGTAAAGTTTGGTGGAGGAGGGATTATGGTGTGGGGTTGTTTTTCAGGGGTTGGACTTGGCCCTTTAGTTAGAATGAAGGGCATCAGCATACCAAGACATTTTGGACAATGTCATGCTCCCAACTTTGTGGGAACAGTTTGGGGATGACCTCTACTTATTCCAACATGACTGTGCACAAGTGCACAAAGCAAGGTCCATAAAGACATGGATGAACGAATTTGGGATGGAGAAACTTGACTTACCTGCACAGAGTCCTGACCTCAACCCGATAGAACACCTTTGGGATGAATTAAAGCGGAGACTACGAGCCAGGGCTTCTCAGTAGACATCAGTGCCTGATCTCACAAATGCGCTTCTGGAAGAATAGTCAAACATTCCCGTAGACACACTCCTAAACATTGTGGACAGCCTTCCCAGAAGAGTTGAAGCTGTTATAGCTGTAAAGGGTGGGCCAATTCAATATTGAACCCTACAGACTAAGACTGGGATGCCATTAAAGTTCATGTAGGTGTAAAGGCAGGCGTCCCAATACTTTTGTCAATATAGTGTGTACATTTGTATGGATGACTAATTGCATTTAAAGTAAACATTCAGCCAGGATATAGACATTCAATCTGAAAATCCTTAACAAACAGAAAATGGGATTTAAAAATAAGCCCTCAGGTACCTGTTTGACTGTAGGCACTGTGGAGAAATTCATCCTCACATTCACAACAGAAGCACTGAAGTTAATTGCAGTCAGTTTCTCAGCAATTTAGTTTACCCTGATACTTTTCCAAAGACACCTGCTTTGTGTTGTTTGTGTTGTAGGAAAGCTGAAAAGCTGCCACTCCACTGCTGGAAGAAGGAGCATGGTGAGCAAAGCTGCTGAGAAGCCAACAAAACTGACTTCGACACCTCTGTGAACTTCAACACAGTGCCTGCAGCTACAGAGGCTTTAAAGCTTATGACAGCTTGCTAAGAGTTTGTGAATACCTACACGTATATTGCATCACCACAAGTACACTTTGAATATTTGTTTACACTGTACATTGGGTTCCACAAAACATGTCCACCTTATTTGGGGGACTTGGCTTTGAAAAGTCTGGGCACCTCTGCTTTACAGCATGCTACAGAAGAACTGATTTTTTTAGGTATTTCAGTATCTTTTCTTTATAAAACAATCGCCATCGTATTTGTTACATGGGAACTACTCTATAAATAGCGGTCCATGAATTCTGAGTTACATGTGATAATTATTTATAAAAAAATACATACATACTGTACAAATACATACAAAATAAAAAATTATCTAGGATCATTAACGTTTCCCTTTCAACTTTACCTGTGCACTTGTTATTTGAAGTATCTGCCCCCCTTTAATAAAGTGCATATTCTCAGTCTGAGAAAGAAGTTGACCATCTTTAAGCCAATTAATTACTGGAGGGGGAAATCCTGTTGCATAGCAAACCAGTTCCACTTGGTTATTGATAGTTACTGATATTTCATCAATGTTATTTGACCCATGTATATGTGGTGGTTCTACAGATAAAACAAAAGTAAAATATGAATCTCCTAGATGTCATGTACAACAATGGTGTCTATAATTCTATGAAAACAAAATCATACCTCCTATTATCTATGTAAGAATATAATCAAAATATGCCAAAAATATTTACCACTTCATTACCAACAGGGTTACCCCACTTGATCTGATACCACTCCAACTGGATCTTGGCTATTAGTATATGACTGGTAATGTGATGAAGGGTCTTCAACTGTTTAGTAATTGTTTAGTAAGTTTAGTAAATAAGTGACTGCATTTACTTTGAATACCCAACCCTGTTCAAGTGAAAAACAATGTTTTCTTGCACATGATTTATTGATTAAAGCAAGCACATATTCACCTTATTTACTAAACTCAGTGAACAAAAAAGCCTTTACTCTACTAGTAAATAATTTTCATTGGTTACTAGCTTCAATCACATAGATCCTGTCATTTTTTTTATCATACAGATGTATTGTGTACATGTGGTTCAGATACATTTAGAGGGTTATTTACTAAAACTGAAGAGTGCAACATCTGGTGCGGTTTGGTGCAGACCACACCAAGAAGCTTCCAGGTTTTATTGCCAAAGCTTAACTGAACAAGCTCAAGTTAGAAGCTGATTGGCTAGCATGCACAGCTGCAGCAGTGCATCAGTTTTAGTAAATCTACCCCTTATTGTATAGATACCACTACCACTATTTATATACTCATCTGTTCCCGATCCAGCAAAATATTGCTGATTAGGGTGTACAACCATTTGTCAGATTTTTCATGCAGGGTCTGAACATGTGCTCTTGTCTTGTCTCTGTTCAATCCTACAGAAATCCCACAGAGTATGAGTGGTGCATAGTAGTGAAATGACTATGCAAAGTGGAGTGACTCAAAGAAAATAATCAGATCTCCATATTAAGATGTGTGACACTAGCATTTTAATGGTTCTAGAAATAGCAGTTACCAAACTTACCCAGAACATTTAGTATGAAATGTTTGCTGACACTGCCTGCCTGATTGGTTGCAGTACATGTATATCTACCAATATCAGAAATTTCAGTATTCAGGATATGGAAGACTGTCCCTTTATTGGGCGCAAGATCAATATCTTTTCCATCTTTTAACCATGAGATATGGGGTTCAGGGTATCCATCAGCAATGCACCTCATTGTAGTTGGATTTCCATTGATGGTGGTGAGCTCCTCAGTTATATCTGAGCTGTCCATAGTTGGTGCAACTGGAACAATGATAGTAATACATAAGTCAAAATGTGACAATGAAACCTGCATGCAAGCATGACATCCTCTTAGGCAGAAAAACAAACAAATGGAAGTAAAACCAGGACATACAGTATTTCTACCTAGTAGCTGAGGTAGGGACAGG